GGATTCCAGGCGTGAGCCCCCGCGCCCGGCCTCCCAAAGTGCTGGGATTCCAGGCGTGAGCCGCCGCGCCTGGCCTCCAGTGCTTTTCTTCTGGCTTCTCACTGACTGCTGGCTTGTTGTTTCCATGGTTGAAGCTTTGATCCAGCTGCAGCGTGTTATTATGTAACACGGCAGGGTGGAGCTGATGTTATTTTTTTCTAGATCTTGGCTCAGTTCTCTTCTCAGCCCCACCTGTGGAGAGCACCTGTCTTTTGCTCACAGCTGTGAAATCCCACCTTTCTTACAAAGTACATTCCTGTATGGATTTGGACGCCTTCCTGGCCACTGTTCCTTTGTCCCTTGTCTGTGCACGTACCCAGCTCCTGACCTAAGCCTGGCGGCCAGTTGCCCAAAACGCCCGAGGGCCGCTTTTGGAGCTGACGCCCTTCCCTTGGCAGGTGTGCTGTCCTGGGCACTCTGATCCCCAGGAAGCTGTTGTCCTGGGGACGGCAGGGGCGTCTCGCAGCTCTGCCTCTCTCTGCATCCACGTGCTCTGCCCCGCTCCCCACATCACCTCGGCAACTAAACCAGCAGACTGGGCTGGGTCCCAATTTTCTGTTGGCATGAGCCCTGGCTCAGTGTGTGGGTCACGGGTCTGTGTGACGCAGGGGGCTGCTGAGGGACCCTGTTGTGCAGTTGAGGGTGGGGGGTGGTGGGTGGAGCTCTGGGCTGCCTGGGCAGGTGGCCCAAATCCTGACACGTGGCCCTGGACGGCCCTACTGTTCACCCGCCCTCATCTGGGCAGCCCAGGGAGGTGCGGGTGGCAGCCCTGCTTGCCAGGCCATGGGTGGCTCTCTGGGTGTGGCCGTGTGCGGTAGCTGTGCCGAGCGTGAATGGATTTGTGCCTCAGTCTTGTCCGGGTCTTAGGGTACCTGTTCTCAGCCTCTCCGTGCTGGGACGCTGTACATCGCAGTCAGCAGGGCTGGCTCTGGGAAACCCCAGGAATTCCGGCTGTGACTTCTCCCCTCCCCTAGTAACATAGGCGGGACCTCGGGGTGGGGCAGGGGCTGGGGGTATCCGTCTTCCAGCCATTGAGTTTCAGACATTGAGGGTTGCAGACTCATTTGTGCCCTCTCTGCCACCTGCCATCCCTGTGACAAGGGGCCTCTGGGTCTCTTTCTTGACATGAGAGCCTGGAGTCGTTCCAGAATGTCCATCATGGGGCTGTGAGGTCAGGAGGGATGCGGTGTCCATGGTGGCGGGAGGTTCTGTAAGGGGCAGCGGCCTTGGTGGATCTCAGCACTGAGGTCGGGTTCTAAAGCCAGAGTGTGAGGCAAAGTTCTGTCATGTCACACCGGCCCCCAAGTCCTGTGGGTCTAGCCTTGAGAAGGCGGAAGGGCAGACTTGAGTTCTGCTCCGTCTTGGCCGTGTCGCCTGTGCCCTGGCGTGTGGGCAGGGCCGGGGTCTTCGAGGGTCTCTCTTTTCCTTTCTGTGATGAGTGCACAGCTAGGGCTGCTCCACGCCGCCGCTCTGCCTTCCTCTTCCTGTCCCTGTTACCTGGGCAGCGGAGGGCCGTGTGGCCGGGGTTCTCAGTGAGCAGCTTTCCCTGTTTCCCTCCTCCCAGCACTTCTCCACCGACCCAGTGGCTGCCTCCATCATGAAGATCCACACGTTCAACAAAGACCGGGACCGGGTGAAGCTGGGCGTGGACACCATTGCCAAGTGAGTGCGTGGCCCCTTTGCCCTGCCTGGCCCCTCCGGCTCGCCCCAGCACCCTTCCCACTGGGGCTGTCACCCTCTCTGGTCCCCTCACGACCTGCTGAGGTGGGCTAGGAAGGGAGCACAGGCCGAGAGTGAGGCAGCTCCACCCAGAGGCCTCGGGCAAAGGACTGGGCCTCTTTGGGTCTGTTTACCCATGTGTGAAATGAAGGTGTTTACGGAATCAGCGGTTGCCCACCCTGGCTTCCTTGGGGACCACTCGGGGAGCGTGTGGAGGAGGCGGGGTCCCACCCCACTCCCCGAGTCTCAGGATTGGGGGCAGGCCTGTTAGTCCACGCTGCCCGCCAGCCCCGAGGGAGCACCCCACAGGAGCCCCCTGCTGGCGCTGCGGCCCCCCGGCTCTGGCTCTCCACTCTTCCGGCCCTGTGGCTCCCCCACCGCTGTGGTTAACTGGTGCCCTTCCAGGACTGGTGGGACAGTGAGGGGTTCCATGGGGCTCCTGCTGGCACCAGGGGTGGGCTCCGTGGGGTGTGCGAGGTATGCCTTCCACCCGGAGACGGTCTCCTGCCCTGGGGTCACTGGGCCGCTTCTTCCCTCTGACTAGAGGCCAAGTGTGGCTGAGCCACTGACCTGGGGCAGGAGGCACAGAGGGGCCGGGCGGGCAGCCTGGGCTGTGCCCCACTCACCCTCTCCACCTACCCCAGGTACCTGGACAACATCCACCTGCACCCCGAGGAGGAGAAGTACCGGAAGATCAAGCTGCAGAACAAGGTGTTCCAGGTGGGCGTGCCTTGTGGCCCCTGGGCCCAGGCTGGGGGTGGGGGCAGCCGGCCTGCAGGAGCCGGTGGTGGCCCACACCAGGCAGTCCCTGGAGGAGCTAGCGAGAGTTGAGCCCCAAGCAGTGAAGCGTTCGGCCAGTAGAAGGTAGCAGGACAAGATAGCGAGCAAGATTTTTAATGCACCAGTCACCTCAAATCAACAAATTCTGCCTCTCCTCACCCACATCCTTTTCCTCCTCTTCAGTTGGGCTTGTTTGGGAACATGTCGGCACTGGGGAGGTTTCTCATGCAAACCAGATGTCTGGTTCTTCTGGGGGAAATGGCAGGGTCTGGCTGCCCTGGCCTGTGTTAGCCTCACTTCAGGCCCCAGCAGTATCTGGCTCCTCAGCCTCACTCTTCGTGCCTGGTTGTGACTTTTTCCTCTGTGCGGAGCTGGTGGAGACTCCACAGCCCCCACCTTAGAAAAGCAGATTTGCACCTGGAACTGAGGCACCCCCAGGGCTGGGCCCCATACAGGGGTCAATAGCTGCTCCCAATAGGGAGGGCCCCTGGACCGGGTGGGGCGTGGCCGGGCCATGGAGGAAGCCAGGGGTCCCCAGTGACCCCCATCTCCACCCCCAGGAGCGCATTAACTGCCTGGAAGGGACCCACGAGTTTTTTGAGGCCATTGGGTTCCAGAAGGTGTTGCTTCCCATCCAGGATCAGGGTAAGCGGACCGGGCTTGGCTGAGTGGCGAATGGGGACAAGGGGCCTCGGGGCAGGAGGGCCCGGCTTGGGGGTCTCTCCGCTGCACAGTGACACCCATGTCCTGCCGCGCTGTAGAGGACCCCGAGGAGTTCTACGTGCTGAGCGAGACCACCTTGGCCCAGCCCCAGAGCCTGGAGAGGCACAAGGAACAGCTGCTGGCTGCGGAGCCCGTGCGCGCCAAGCTGGACCGGCAGCGCCGCGTCTTCCAGCCCTCGCCCCTGGCCTCGCAGTTCGAACTGCCCGGGGACTTCTTCAACCTCACGGCAGAGGAGATCAAGCGGGAGCAGAGGCTCAGGTGGGCCTGGTGTCCGCGGAGCGGAGTGGGGCGGGGTGGGAGAACCCGGGCCAGCTCCTGACCTGGCCCTCATGTGCAGGTCCGAGGCAGTGGAGCGGCTGAGCGTGCTGCGCACCAAGGCCATGCGGGAGAAGGAGGAGCAGCGGGGGCTGCGCAAGTACACCTACACGCTGCTGCGCGTGCGCCTCCCCGACGGCTGCCTCCTGCAGGGTGGGCACTTGCGACGCCCAGGGAGGGTGGCTTGGGTTGGTGGGGGCCCTGGGCCCCACCTGCGCTGACCTCCCCACTCCCCAGGGACCTTCTACGCCCGGGAACGGCTGGGGGCAGTGTACGGGTTCGTTCGGGAGGCCCTGCAGAGCGACTGGCTGCCTTTTGAGCTGCTGGCCTCGGGAGGGCAGAAGCTGCCGGAGGACGAGAACCTGGCCTTGAATGAGTGCGGGCTGGTGAGTGTTGGCCTGCAGGGGGCTGCTGACCCGGTGCCTCTGCAGGTTCTCCGGGGACCGGCACAGCCCCTCAGGAGGGAGCCTCCTTGTTTCAGAGCAGGGGGCCTGGGCAGGTCCCTGGGTTTGAATCCCACTTTCCCACTTACTGGCAACAGGGCCTTGAGCGAGTTCAGAACTACTCCATACCTCAGTTTCCCCTGTCAAATGGGAGCAGTGACGCGTGTTAGCTAGTGCAGTAAGTTTAGGCTTAGGTTCCGGGAGTCCCGGAGGGAGAGGGCAGGAGGCCGGGGTGTGAGCCACAGCCTCCACCAGCTGAGATGGCTTCCAGGCCAGGGTATCCCCGAGCCCAGCTTGCCCGCTGAGTTTCCCGCGGCGGGAAGGGCCGACTGTGCTCGGCTCTGTCCTTCCACTGCATGGCCACATGGAGACAGAATGACAGCCTGCCCCCACCGCAGGTGCCCTCTGCCCTCCTGACCTTCTCGTGGGACATGGCTGTGCTGGAGGACATCAAGGCTGCGGGGGTCGAGCCGGACGCCATCCTGAAACCTGAGCTCCTGTCGGCCATCGAGAAGCTCTCTTGAAATAAAAGCAGGGTTGGCCTCAGCCCTGTGGGTCTGTCTCATGCTCTCCCTGTTCCCCTCCCCGCCACCCCCAGGGCCTCCAAGCCACCTCTGGAAATACTTGGCTCTGCCCCATGGGCACGGGAGGGGCGCCAGCTAGCTGTGGAGCTGTGGAACTGGGCCCCGTGGCAGAGCCCCCATCTCCTGGGGGCTGTGGAGATGCGCCCAAGCCCCCGAGAGGCCTGGGGACGCCATCAAATCTAAGCCCTCCCTAGCTGCTGGTAACTGTGTCATGAAGCTGCCATGCAGACACACGTGGCATCTCCGTGGGCAGGAGAGCAGGCCTGCAGCACGAGTCCCGTTCCCGTGTGCTGTGGGTGGCAGCGGCTGCACCTGGCGCTAGGGCTGCTCTGTGGATGTGGGTGACGACGGCAGGAGGGGACGCTGGCCTTCCCGCACACAGACCTGCAGTTAGTAAATCATAAGCCCAAATAAACAGGGTGTTTGAATGTAGTTTTTTGGTGCTCCATTGAAACCATGGGACACAGGGCAGGCTCACCTGCTACAGAGCAGGCGGCACGGGGGCTGGGCATGGCTCCCTGTCAAGGCGGCACCAGGCGGATACCTGCTCTCTGGCCAATGCCTGGCCACAAGCACTTGCCTGGGGAGGAAATCCCGTGCGCTAGGGGAGGCTGTGCTGTGCCCACAAAGGCCCAGTCCCCGTGGGCCTCTCCCAGCTTGGGAGGCGAGTGCTGTCACAGGCCTGGCTTCCCTGTAGCCAGAGGGACAGGGCGTCCTGAGATAGCCACATGCTCTTCCTGGAACCTGCAGATGCGCGACTTCACCTGGCAAGAGGGGCTTGGATTGTATGATGAAAGGTCTTGAGCTGAGATGATCCTGGGTGGTCCAGGACCCAGTGTCCTCACAAGAGGTGGCAGGAGGGTGAGGCAGAGGTCAGAGAGAGACTGGAAGAGGCTGCACTGTGGCTGTGAAGGTGGAGGAAGGGGCCCTGAGCTGAG